AAAGCTACCACAGCACCATGTCACACTGCCTGATGTGCCATATCTGCCATATCTGCCATATCTACCCCCCCTGTTCTTGACATGTTGACGGCCGGAGAAGGCGACTGCAAGGGATTGTAGCCCTCAAAAGATTGTCGTTCACAGGTATGCCCAGTATGGCAATGACAGAACCTGCGTGATAAAGGCAAGGCCTGCATTGCAGTAAACGATGGCAAACCCAAAAGTATACCGTGCCTCATATACCAATTTGGACCACCCATCTTTACATTATTTTGCTCTATATACTTACCCCCCATCTTGCCCCTTAACGTTAATTTTTTTTGAAAAAAAATCAGACCTCCAAAAAGGTGAGGGACGTTTGACAGGCTCTACTCGCCTTGACCATCCAAGTCGGGCAGTTTCCGCCTGCGGTTGGCAAAAAGAAAAAGATCGCTGCAGCTTCGGACGATTCCTACACTCGATTTTGAGATGATGCAAACAGGGGACAAACAAACAAACAAACCCGAGCAAACTCCAGTAAACCCGAATTAAGGCAGCTTTTGATGGTTCCTCTGTTCTTTTCCGTTCATGTTAAATATCAAGCATCGCTTGCCCTTCCCCGCGGGTGCCCACACAGAAGGAAGGTCAAGAGACTCGTGAGAAAGTTTGAACTGTTCTTGGGATCTGAGCCAACCATACAAAGTATGCATATATATATATATATGTGTGTGTGTGTGTGTGTTTCCATATTGCCAGATACAAATCATCATGAATCACCGTAAACTATTGCTATATAACATGCAGTAACCCTCGAAAAAAACAGTAAAATGTGAGTAAGTCTTGAGATTCTCGTCTTGAGATAGTCGCAATAGGTCCTAGACATGGTTCCACCATCCCCACTGGATCCATCTGGATCAAGTGGCTGGTAACCATCCAGCCATGTGGCGTAACCAGTGATTTCAGTGCCTGGATGCATCCGCCAGGGCGGCCAGAAAGCTGGCTTCAGAGTGGCCTCGGCTGACTGATTTTTTTGGTGAGGCTTTGTGGGGCTATGTATAGCCCAAGTAAACTTTAATGGGATAAAACACGAATCAGAAACCATACTAACCAGATCTAACCAGCATGAGAAAAACCTAGCCTATATTGTTTCTCAATTTCATGGAATGATTCTCCAAGAGCGGTGACTGCTTGGAGGTCACAGTTGGTAAGTGGGGAACATAACCCGTATACGCTTCATATGGTTGGTGTATACCCATATGGTTGGTGTATACCCAACAAAAAGAACTGAGTTGGATGGTTGCTAGCCCCTTACCAACTGGGATGCCCCTCCAAGTGAGATGCCGCCATCATTTACCCACTGGCCAACCGACTGGTGGAAAAAGGATGGAAAAGGCTTCATAGATGCTTCGTAGGTACACAACACAAAGAAAAAGGTTTCAATGAATCGGTTGATTCTGCTTCATAGCTGGCTGAGCATCGAGTTTAAAGTCCCATTTAAACTTGATCCCATTTAGATCCACTAGAAAAGGATCTCAGGAAACCCCTGTGTCTTTTTTTTGAGGAAAAGTTACCTGTCTTTTTTAAGAGCAAAAACACGTTTTCTTTCAACTGGTTTCAACCCTATAGTGTTCTTCAAAATCAAGAGAATCAAGCCATGGATCCCATATGCCATAGCTGATGCTTAGACCCCGAGTCAACTTGTGCCCGCTGGCCGCCACTTTTTCAACCTGGCCGTGCCCTCGCTGGGCCGAGGTGACAGCAGTCGAACTGCACCGAGACCGAGGAGCGTCAGGGCTGCTTTCCACCAGTGCTGGCTTGACTTTATGGGAAACCCATGGGTTGAAGAGTTCCGAAATAAGTACCATGTTTCAATATGTTTCCTCTCTCTCTCCCCCCCGGCCAGCGAACTCGCAATTATAGATGTAACCCATATTATAAATATATATTTATTGCAACATATCAAATACATAACCTTTTTGGGATTTTCGGCAGCGTCTCTATCTGAATCAGGATATTTTGGGACACCATCGACTCCTGCTCTTAGCTTCACAGCTCCCTGAAGCCACCGGTGCAGCTCCTTCGACAAAGGGCGAATCTAGCTACATGCCGAGCACAAGGGGTCCAGCAGGCATCAAATCATCAATGGGTCCCTTGGAAACAGACATGCTGTTTGACATTGTTTGACGCTTTCCCCAATGTTAGCCACTCATGATCACTTTTCTGTATGGTGGAAACGTTTCAGGTTGCTATCAAGGTTCCACAAAAAAGTCATCCGAATTCCACCGACAGAAAATCTGGTCAAATCACTCGAATCTCATCACGTTTTTTTTTGCGGCTGGAACCAACGGCCGCGAAACAGCAGGAGTTTCTCGCGAATCTTTGGCCGCGTCTGAGCTTAACAGCGGTGTCAGGGTTCAAAGCATTGCTTGGCTCAATGTCAAGGACTTAGGCCCAGTAAAACACCCGCTTTGAGTATAAAACCACCCCAAATATCCCAACATAACATGTTTTGGATTGTTTTGGTGGATCTTTGAGATTCTTTGAGCTTTTCGTTGCATTTTCCATGTTTGTTCTGATTCTTCGACCTTCTCCACCAGGCGCAGGCAGCAAGTTATGGCTCACTCACCAAGGGTCGAAGTGTGGAGCCGCTCCATCGAAGCGATAGACTGGCCTGGAGAGCACTCACCTGCGATCCCGAGAACTTGGCAAGTTCCACTGGCGGTGAAGGAGCGGGCTTTATAGGGGCAAAAACCCCAAAAAAAAACATGAAACATTGAATAGTATAAATATAATTAAATATAGAAGTATTGAATTGATTTAGAATCCAAGCCTGCTGAGCAAGTTTGAAATGATCCCATAATCTTCGTTCACCCTGGAGATTGCAGGAGTGGCTACCGACTTTGTTGTGCCATATGCCATGTGTCCGTTCGTCTGTTACGAATTTCCATAGCATTCGTCATATTCGTCCCCAAAAAAAGGCTGGTGTCGCATCAATGTTCTCAGCATCCAAAGCATTCATCAAATACATCTGGAGATTGGACGGCCAAAGGGAATGGGAATGGCTTGACAAATATATTGAATCGCAATGATTCACAATCCAGCCCAACTGTACCAGGGAATCCAGCATGCTAACAGATGCTAACATGGTCTCTCCTCTACTATTCTACTGTTCTTTCATGATTATAGTTTACCCTCTGGTAAATTAACATAGACCCTGAAAATACACCATGTTTAGTGCATATTTCGTGGAAAAACAAATCCTCCAATCCCGATCTGCCAGGGTCTATCGCTGTGGATCGCCACCTCGCTTTCCAACATCGAGGGGCGACCAGCGCTCCATGTCCGAGCGGTCCGAGCGTCCTGATGCAATCCCACGACTTTCGGGCCGCACTTGGACCATTTCGGGTTGCACTTCGTTGTGCCACAACTTTTGCTAAAGTGGGATAAAGTGGGTTTGTCATGGTTTGTCTGAAAATGGCCTACTCCAACCCCCAAAATTGGATGGTTTATCAATTTGTCTGTATTTTCTCCCGTGAAAACTAGCAGTAACTAGCACTTTATGGGTACGGCCCGTTTTCAGACACTCAAAATCATCTGGTTTATATGCATGATGTTCTTTCCCTTAATTAAATCACCATGTTCTTAACTTTTCTCAGGAGCGTCTTCCCAGGGACAACAAGGGAACATCGAATGATATCGAATGTTTGGTGAGCGACCCTGGGACGCTTTATTAAAATAATACCTTCCCAAGGACAACAGGGGGGGACTAATGATTTAATGGCATCCCGTGGCCTGCCGTCCACAGGCTGCTTCGATGCCGGGCATGAGGTACAGCAGAATCAGGAGCGCAGCGGGAGCGACCTGCGGTGAGGCTGTGATACCTGACTTACTGGTGCTTAATAGGGAATGGATGGCAATGGGGGTTGCTGGGATGATTATTACTAGTGACTATGGTCATTCCCTCATTCCCTGCTAAGCACCAGTAAGTCTTGAGAAAACACCCAAGCCCCATGGTTTACAATGCTTTTCCACATTACCATGGCAATTTTCCAGGTATCATACGGTGACCCCCCGTTTGAAAAAACTCTGAAAACTGATGTTGGAAGATGTCACGTGCATTTTTCCTGTGGGAACCTGAGTTCCGCGATGTCTTTGCTTTTCGGGCCGTTTGGCCCGTACAAAACCGAAATCGATCCACTCTAGTCGTGGCCGGCCGCCGTTGTGGCCGCCGCTGTAGCTCTCGAATCTATAAGAAATCGAATCGAATCGAGCAGGCTCAAGGCCGCTGTAGGCCACTCACACATCCGTCAAAAGTCAACAAGCCCGGGATGTGGCCAAATGGCCCAGGAAGTCCTCTTAGATCCCCGCTCCTGCCATGCAAAATGATTTGCGATCTGATGCGCGGGTATCTGCATAAGTGGAAGCGAAGTAGAAGGAACTTTGGGCAGCAGTTTGGAGATTGAAGAAGTTTGAACTAATTACCTTTAGGATCCTTTAGGTGTCAAATGGTGTCACCAACAGCCTAAATTCATCCGAATTCATTCATACCTCACTGCACTGCATTGGAGATTTCTTCTGCCACCCCTGCTGGACGGCTGGCACAAAAACAGGAACATCCGCAAAACAACATACAGATATGGTGATTCATAGTGATTCATAGGCGATACAACAAACAAACATGCGGATACATACCCAGACCATCCCAGTACATCCCCAAACCACTCCACCCCCAAAGAAAGAAAACTGGTCGGCTCCGCGGTCTCCACTGCTACACGTTGAATTTCTGGTGGTTATGTAAAAATTACCATCACACCCCACCCCCACCAAAAAAAAATCAGAATGGCCAGGAATCGCCATGAAAAATGTACCAAATTTATCCAAATTTGCCTGTAGGATCTTGAGGAAATCTGCTTGAAAACATCAAAAACACATAGCCATAGGGCCATAGACAAATGTACAAAACATCAAATGTACCAAACTTTCTGCAACCTTTGGACCACCTTGGACCCTGGGCTCGCTCCTCAAGAGATGGTTGGCAGCGCTGCTGCCGCGATGCACTGCCCCACCGCCTTGAAGTGGTCGTCGGCCGTGTGGAACTGCATCCCAGCCTCGGCATCTCAGGTGATGGAAAACCACCCATAAAAATGAAGATTTTAGGGGATGGTTTATTATTGGATTTACATGGATTTACCACATGTTGATTTGTTTAAACAATGTCATTTCACATCATTTAAATGAGTTTGTGGCGGAGTGACTCGTGGGGCAATGTGGAGGGCGATGCTATCCCTCGTCCATTTGGGGGGTGCGCAAACAACGCAAAGTCAGTATCCTGCATAATTCGTGCACTTCGATCCGTTTTTGTTTAAGTGAAATGGTTAGCAAATAACGGGGCTCTATGTACCCTTTGCAGCTGCTTTACACTTAACACCCCCAGTTTTCAACGGCCCCGTCATTAATGAGCCCTCCTCTCAGCTACTTGTCGTTTTTCCCACCCACAAGAGAAGAATCAATGGGCAATGACCCAACATGACCCAACAGCTAGGGGCCCAGGATGGCCCAGGGGGCTCTGGGTAACACTGGCAACACCAGGGCCCCACTGGAACTGAAAGGCGGTTCGGTTTCCGGGTTTCCGCATGACATCCTGTTGCGAGCCAGGCGCGTACTCCGGAAACTCGACTTCCAAGACCTCCGAGCTGGAGCCGGATGTCAAGCTGGAGGCTCAATCATTTTAAGCCATAGCCGGCAAGACATATCAAATTACTCACAGATCTCACAGTTCCTTTTTCTGCCATGACTAGCCCTGGAACCTTTTTTGAGGGGTGAGCGGGGTTGCAAGAAAGTTGAGTTATCGATGTTTATCGGCATCACAACCCCTCAAACAAGCAGTTGGGGGCCCATCAAGGTATTTCTGCATGTTGCCTGGTGTAATATTGAAAACCCTCACAGAAAGGATCCCCGTATCAATCAATTGTTCAACCCGCATGTTCAATCATACTGTGAAAGTGTCTCAATTCCCCTATCTGGCCCTATCTGTTAGTTCAATTATATATTCAATCAATCAGTTAATGATTAGCAAATCATTCATCAGCATTTTTGCTGTCCCTAAATGTCACTCTTGAGCCATGTCCCTTGGATCCCACGGACTTTCTTGCAGCCTTCTTGGCGGTGTTCAACATGATATCACCTGCAAGGGAGGCATTGGCAGTTTCAGCTAGTGATGTGAAAGGTTGTGATGCCCATCTGTTCCGGTACACCCAAGCATTGCCATAAGTGATCTACAAAGATCTACAATGTCAATTTGTGATATTTGGTGCCCTGGAAACATGGACGTTTGATGTGCGGCGGCAGATCAGTGACCCTGGCCTCCGGCGCCCTTGCTCACGCGGCCCAGGATCATCACATGATCGATGGGATAAAACTCGCAGTACTGTGCTAAGGCATAGCCCAAATAAACTCCCATGGTCACATAGAGTTGCTCCACCTGGCAGGCAGATCGAAAAAGTGTGATGCTGTGCCACTGGGATTGGATTCTTTGAAAAGGTATCAGCTGATAGCGACCATTGGTTGGCGGAAGTTCCCCAGGCGCGGCTATTTATGGTGACCTCCCCAAGCTTGATTGAGCACCATCAGAACAACGACTGGTTCACTGGTGGGCTGCCTTCGGATGCTAGGAATTGATGGAGATATCACAACTTTTCCACCTTGGTTGCCACCCCCACCCTAGGGTCCCTAGGGCCTGTGGTCGCAGGTCTTTGTCCTCCATGGCCTTCTGAATCAGCTTGAGGCACTGCGCGTGGTTCTCATGTTTGATGGTGCACATGTCCGGATGAGGATAGACCTGAACTGCACTACATCTTGGCACTGCCCACGACAAAGGAAATGGTCAACTGGGGTCCCCAAACCGGGGACAACGGGAAGAAAAGGCATGAATACTGAATACCTGCGAAAATATACAGCAAAATATTTATTGAACAAATTTACGCATGTAAATACATATGCTTTTGTCACATATGAAATCCAGAATGATGAATTTGAGATGAAAATGGCAATAAAGATGGACAGATAAACATTATAAACCACCATCCATCCATCCATCCATCCATCCATCCATCCATCCAACCAACCAACCAACCATCCATCCACTTAAAAATTGCTCGTTTCAGCCAGGTCACATAGTTGGGGGGCACCTTCACCCCAGCCTTGGCCGCCAATTTGGTGGCGCCACGCTGTCCAAGGTACATGTGGGACATGCCGATGTGCGCGCCCTTGGTCCAGGGATCTGTGGGTGCCTCGGGGTTCAAGTCCAATCTCCTCGGCCGGCACACACGGTGGTAACCCAGCTACATATATATATATTTATATTTATATTTATAACTATATATATATAATTATAGATATATATATATATACGTATATACATATGTGTGTATATGTATATATATGTGAGTATATATATATATAATATATATATATATATACGTATCTGTGTGTGTGTGCGTGTGTGTGTGTGCGTGTGTGTGTGTGCGTAATATTCCATTACATAATAATATATATATATAACTAACTACTTTAGTTTATAGGGGTAGAAAGAAACAAACAAGACTGTGATTCACCACATTGTGGCATTGTTTTGTGAAAATAAGACATATCAATGTGTTCATAAAATTCAGAAGCATCACAGCATCACCCACTTCCATGATATTCGATGATATAGATGCGGATAGGATGGGATTCAGATCCAGTAGCGGTAACTGAGGAGCTTTCAGCCAAGTTACACGTAGCATAGCTCGTTGATCCATCCCATCAAATTACCTGGCGATGGGTGGCACATAGTTGTAGTGCGCTTAAATATGTTTCTGAATCCCCAGCGCAAATCACAAACACCCCCTCAGAGAAACGCGTAGAAAAGTTGATCTGCTCATTTTGGGGTACCGTTTGAAGGATCTCACTACAGTTGGGATTGAATGACACGGTGTAGCTACCATTAGCTACCCTATTTGCCAAGGCTGCGGGCTGTAGACAAGTGACCCTCAGCGTTGGCATAGCCGGCACCCTCACTGCTGCCCATCGAAATGCCCATGATGTTTCCCTTGCCCTCGAGTTTCTGCACCGCTGCCAGCACCGTCACCTGCGAGGATGAAAAAAAACTGGACCGACACTGTCATCGAAGATGGAAATGGAACATCCCATCCCTCGTTTTCAGATGAGTTTCCTATTGAAACCTGCATTTATAGGGGGTTCCCCTTGCCATGTTTGATGACCAAAGGGTATTGAACGCTGTAGCTCAGTGATGGTGTGAATGAATCAAGCTGGTCTTCTCCTCGGAAGTCCAGTTTCTTCCTTTGTCTGACATCATGTACTTGGATGTTTGGCTTGCAACTAGGACCTCCATCATACAACAGTCAATCCAAATTCTAGTGGCTCCCAATGGCACCATCGTCATCGTCATCGTCATCGTCATCGTCATCATCATCATCATCATCATCATCATCATCATCATCATCATCATCATCATCATTATCACCATCATCAATCATAATCATCAGCGCATGAATATACAGTAGCATTACAATAACAATAGTAACAAGAAAAATGTACTTTTGTAATATATAATAATTGTCGTCATATGTCATAAACATATATATATATTAAACTTTATTAAACCCTTCACCAATGGCACCATGCTCCCGATTGATCACCTCACCATCGTTGATCACCTTCAGCGGCACATCTCCAGCAACCTCTTTGGAGATTCGCTGGAAGATGTCCACCACCTTCTGCTTGTAAACCTCGAAGAAAATATAACATCTGAAGATTTGTTGTCCACGTCGTGATATTTCATGAGATGATTTGGGAGATAGATGACGGTTTCGTGCAAGGGTCAGACGAACAGACGGACAGACAATGTCTCCCTGGCATGTTCACTCTTCATTACCCTCTGGTAAACTAACATAGCTATGGAAAAATCACCATTTTCAATGGGTAATTCCACTATAAATGGCCATTTTCAATAGCAAACCGTTAAATTACTAGAGGGTACTGCTGCTTTCTTGCGGCCGTTTTGCTTTCACATCTCTGTTGTAAGGCAACTTTACCGACTCAATGACCAGCTGATCACAGCTAGATGACCAGCAACAAAGGTTGGTGGTTTCAACCCCTCTGAAACATATGAAAGTCAATGGGAAGGATTATATATCCCATATATTAAAATCAACATGTTTGAAACCACCAACCAGTATACAATGCGTTACAGTATTTAAACCGTATGAAAACCTAGTGATGAACGTTGATAATCCGTGATAAACCGAAAACTGGGGATGCTTTACAGCATTGGCTTTACAGCGTTCATTGCCATTCCGGGCGGCCGGTGGCGGCACGTTGGGAAAGATGTCGCACCACGTGGCCTCGTTGTTAGCTCCCAGAGTTCCCGTCGCGCTGCCGCCCACGGCGTCCACCTGACTAAATCTTCAGAGTCTTGGATCTGATTTTCACCTGGTTTATATGGTGGTTTCCATAAAGGGGGTACCCTCTGGTAATTTAACATAGCTATAGAAAATTACCATTTTCAATAGGTAAACCATCTATAAATGGGGCCATTTTCCATAGCTATGTTAGTTAGTTAGTTTACCAAAAAGGGTATCCAAAAATGGTTGGCTTCCCATTAAAATGGATGATTTAGAGGTGAGGTACCCCTATTTCAGGAAACCACCATATATGTCTTTCTGATCATTTTCCCCATTGAAAATATGAAATGATTGAACATTTAGATACATTTGGGATATACCCCATCCCCATGTTCAATCATTTTCAGATCAAGTTTATCATGATATATCATATCATGATGTTGCCCTTTGAAAGTGCATTTTGGAGGATACCCCCATTTTGAGACCTACCAAAGTGTGAATTAAATTCACATCTCTACGTGCGTGACCAGCGCCACGTCTCTGCCTTGGGAAGTTTCTCCTTGGCGATTTTCAGGGCATCGGTCACCGCCTTGAAATGATAATCCGGATCTGGGTTGGTCACCTCAGTGCAGCTGTTCTGGAGATGGCTCCGCTGATCTTTTTTTGCGGATGTTGTCTGGTTCTTATTGCGATGTTCTTTGGAAATCCTGTGGGAAAAAATGATATCAATTGATATCAACTGGAATTCCTGTGAAGTTCTCATGTTGCTGTGATGTTTGGCTCTTATTGCTTACCCTAAACTGACATCAACTGACCGACTGATGGAGCTAGGATGGGGCTTACCAACAAACAGCAAGGAGCCTAGGACCCCACAAGAGTGCAAGCAAAGCCCTCTGTTGACTGCTAGGTGCGGCTAGGTGGGGTATGGGAGGCAGGTTGAATGATGAATGATCCTTGACCACATACCCCACCAGAAATCCGATGTGAAACCCAAGTGCAATACATCCCTTTCCTTTTGGGAAACCGCGATCCAAATCCAAATCGTTTGGGTTCAATGTCACTTTTCTGGAGCGCAACCTTGAAGATCTTCGGAGAGTATCTCTGCAACTGCAAAGTTTAGGCAAGTTGCATCCCACTCGGTCTCCTTGGAATAGACCACCTCAAATCACTTAGATCAATGGCTGGATGGACGGCTGCTTTATTTTTAAAACAAATACATATGACATTGACCAGTCATGACCAGTCCACCAAACAACTTTGCCTCCAAAAAAAATGATTCCATCATCCCGGTCCGAGAGCCCTTGAAAAACAAAACATCCACATATCCATGTACGTTTACACATATTAGATTCAATTCACGTTTGAACTGCAATTGAAAAATCATCCTACTCACGGACTTAATTGCTACGAATTCCCCCCATCACTCCCAACTTGCACATGGAATAAGCCATGGAATATCCATGGAATAAGCCCTTTTTTATCACATTTATCACCTAAAAGTTGGACCATCCATCCCCACCGGGACCATCCAGGCCTCACCATCCTTGACGGCCACGGTTTTGATGTCGCTCTTTCCCAGGTCAAAGGCCAAACGACATCCGTTGGCCGTTTTGCCGCAGACCTGCGGGGTGTCCTTGCCTTCTGGCAGCTCCTAAGCTGTATCTGGATCTGGAGCCGGATCTAGTGAGATGTCATGAGTGAACTATGGTAAGGGGTCTAAGAAAAACAAATCCCATAGGATCCATGTATGCCATATATGGTAACATATGGTAACATTTACCATCAATATACCCCAAATGTTAGCATATATACCATACATGGATCCTATGGGATATAGCTGGTGGTGTTGTTATGGCCAGCTTCAAAAGGGATAAAAGGGATAGACTCCCTATGAGCCAAGCCGCTGCAGCCGTTGAAACAATCTTCACCTCGAAAGGGCTGTCCGGCGTGCCGCAGACGTTCGGCATGGAGGTGACTTCGAAGCTGTACTTGCCGCCCACCGAAAAGTCCTGGCGACTTCTTCGGAAAAAAATGTGGAAAGGAATCGAAAGTACTTCAAAGAAATGATGTTGAAACTAGTTGAAAAATGGACAGCTCTGTTTTTCGGCTTGACTTTTTTGCACACAAAAAATGGATCACTCCTTGGCCAGGGCTTCACAAATCTTGGCAGGCCCATAGAGCAGTAGACTTTTGGCACTTCGCTGCCAGATCATCTCCTGGATCAAAGCTCCTGCAGGACGACGACCCGACAAGAATGTCTCCACTTCCTGCCTGGTGTAGGTCGAATAATGTGGGCAAAACAATTAGTGAACCACCCAATTTTTGATGGTTTATACCACCTATATACCACCTATTTATGGTGATTTGGGGGATGGTTTATTATTGTTTCAATCAAAATACTGTAAGTTAGTTGATGGAATGAAAACAGACAAACATAAACTGCATAAACTAATATCAACATATTATATCAACTAACCATGTCTTCTAAAAGTCTATAGCCCGAAGGGAACATCAATGAACTTCAGGGCTTTCCATTCCTACGAACACAAGGTTGTCTCTAATCTATAAAGCCGGTGTACCAAAAAAAAAATCATGGGGATGCGTGTCAAGTCCTGTGGCACCACCGTGATGATCTTGTCAAAATTTGCTGCTGCTGTTGTTTCTGTTGCTTAATTACCGGGCTTTAAATTGTGTGAATCCGTTTCAAACCGCTTCATGCAACTCTCACAGCGAAAACACTAAAGGTATGGACCAAAACCTAAAGCACCACGTTGCGGTCGATTTTTTGGTCTTGAGCTCCCAGTGAAAGCCAGTCCTGCCAGGTAGATGGAGGCGTCAATATCTTCGTGGCCCTCCGGAAACACTGGCAGTTTGTAGCGTGCGCATCCATCCTGATCCAGGGATGACTGTTACCTGTTACCTATGGACATCCTATGGACAAAGGAGTCGTCCTAAGAATGGAGACCATCAGTCACATGGGTATGGATCAATACCTATTAATACCATTTTTAGTGGGATGAACATCCATTTACCAGCTATTTTGATGTTCACCAGGGGTACAAGGTTTTGACACACTGCCACATGGTTGATGTTCTAGGGTTCTGAGCATATTTCTCAACTTGCTTCCACTGGCAAAAGTCTTCATCTGACAATCTGAAGGAAAATGAGCTATGGATGCCCAGATTTTTCCAAGCGTCCGCACGGGGCAGCGCCCATTCCAGATACACAGGGCTGCCCTTCAAAACCGAGCCCAAAATGCCTTCCCAAGCACCACTGGCAGCTGACACAGCCTTCAAATACCTCACTTGGATGATCATACCCATGCCAAGGGCTGTGAGAACTGCTTCAGAAACCTATAAAGCATCCCATAGCATCCCCAATTGAGCAATCTCGGAAACTCAAGGTGCACGAAAAGGCCATCAACAAATTATTCAATAATTGGGGAAGGTCCCATCGCTTGCGACGCGTCTGCACAAAAAAAATGATGCATGGCAAATTTTGGGGTATCGCTTCAGGGAAAATGATCTATGCGCAAAGGTACGCAATAACCTTCAAAGAGGGCAAACATATTTGGGAAGGTCCCATCGCTTGCCTCATGCTTGTACATTTTTTGACACCCATGTCCATCCCTTACATGTTTCTTATTGCCGGAGTTTTTACGGTGGCTCAAAGTGGAGGACCCGGTAAGTGTAGATACCAACAGCAGACGAAATGAATAAGACAGAAACGACCGCTGGATTTGGTTTGATCCAGAAGGACGGACACCTGCGCACCAAACCTATGGCTTAGTAAAATCATGTCAAATCCGTCCCAGAAGTGCTCCCTCGACCCAGGCCTATGGATATCTATAGCTACTTAGCTCCAAACCACCCGCGAGCCAGAGGCTAGCCCCAGCATATCCCAAAACATCCCCGATATATCATTTATTAATATATCATGATTTTTCGTTGGTGAACTCCCCTGGAATCTGAATATAATTCTATATATTTATATCATTTTATATCCATTGATTACAGTACCATTTTTGTTGCTTAAATCAGTTAAATCAGTTAAGTTGAATCATGTTAAACCCCAATTTTTGGTTGGTTCAACTCCCACTCTTTTTTTGGGGTCAGCTCCCCAACGTTGATCTCAGCGTCTTCCGCTTCGCCAGGACCATGGGTGCAAAGTTGGGATCCAACGGAGCAGCCACGGCTGGTCGCACCAGCAGGTGCTTCATTGCAGCCACGGGCATCGCCATAGTGCCGCGGGCTCTGGGGTGACCACGGACAAGAGTGTGAAGCCAAAAAGCTAACTAAGCAAGCTGACCAAGCTCGAAGCAAGGCGACATGGAACGGAGCAACAAGTGATTCTCGTGGGAAAAAATCATCTAGTGACATGTATCTTCAGGATTCGGTATGATACTGGACCAGGTGTTTTTAATGGTAAAAATGAATGAGAAAAAGCACAACATGGATCTTGACATCATCAGCATCAGTTCAGCATGATCCTAATGTTTTTTTTCTCCTTAGTAATGGCTGGAAGGCTGGAAGAATGGTTTGTTTGGGGGCTTTGCCCATCCACCTGGGACAAAGCAGTCTTGGCATCAAGAAACTGGGCCCCGGATGCCTCTGAGACCAGGTAGTATGGCAAAAGCAGGCCGCATGGCCAGTATTGCCTGGTGAATCCGCCCACACTGTGGGTGCATTTGAGACGCTACGCGCAGAGATAGAATGAGATAGGCACGTAGCAAATACTTGTAGAAAGGAAAGATAGAACGAAAGGTGGATTGAACCTTTTATATAACCCACTGACTTCAGTTGCCATCATCATCATCATCCCCCCGTTGGTGCTGCTGAGGTGCTTGTCATTCCACACCAGGTATAGGATGCAGGCTGCCCGGAAGAGGAAGGCAGCCACACAGGCCGTCACAACAGCCAGAACACGTGACACACCTCGGTCCGGTGGCGGGTCTCAACCCCATCTGCGAAAATCTGCGTCACAATGTTTGGCCGTATAAAAACCATTAAAAACCTAGATAAATTGGACAGAATAGTTCACCAATCTGAAATAAGGCCCCACTTGTTGCAGATTGTCCCACTATGTCCCACTTCCCCCTAGCGGCCCTAGCGCGTTGACGTCGCAGCACCCCCAAGGGCCGCAACATGAACCAATGTGTTGTTGTTCTCCCTTAAATTCTGAGGACCCAACCCACAAAAAGACTCTATAGTTAAGGACATACACTTAGAACACAAAGTGTTTTCCAATTTTTTTTTTCATACACTTAGAACACCGTTTTGCTGCGGGAGAAATTCGCCCCAACTGTTCTAAGTGAAGGCTTAGAACATGTTCTAAGTGAGCCACTTAGAACATCATCAGAAACGTGTTAGAACACATCTTATTTTTCTAACATGTGTTCTAAGTGTAGGTCCGTGCATGTAAAGTAGTCATACAATACAATTTGTAAGGCATATATACAATATTGTATTAAAATGCAATATAGAATAAAATAAAATAGGGTAATATATATTTATATATTATAATAATATAATATAATATAATATGATATAATATAATATAATATAATATAATTCTACCCCAAAACGCCATATAACTATAACAATATGTTTCAATTGTCTTTTACATGTTATTCAGAAGACATGACATTTAATTAGGCACTACTTTCATTAGGCACTAAAAAGCCGCCAAGATCACGACCCGCTGCCTGAAAGGTTTGGTTCTACCTATAACTAGTAGCACAAAAAAATATCAACCATTTTCACCAATTTGGGTATTGATTTTCTCTTATTGGAAGTGTTCTAAGTGTGTGATCCGCCACCTAAGGAAGCCCCACCAAGGAGGCAACCACCATCACCCAGAAATGTGTTTAGGATTCCTTTTAGATTGATAATTACTTGTGGCATGGGTTTATTTGTTGTTGGCCACTCGAAGGACGGAGAGCATGTGTATCAAACAGTGCTACCAACTTGAATATTGTTGTTTTTCCCTTTTTGCAAGTGTTCTAAGTGCGTGGTTCGCCACCTAGGGAGGCCACCAACATCACCCAGATTTTTGTTTGTTCCTTTAAAAACAAATACTTTTGAGATGGGGTTAGTTGCTGTTGACCACTGGAGGGATGAAGAACAGGTGTGTCAAACATCTTGACCAGTCACCAACCAGAGTATTAAATGTCTGTTTTTGGAAGTGTTCTAAGTGTGTGGTTCGCCACCTAGGGAGGCCACCACCATCACCTAGAAATGTGTTAAAGCGTCCTTTTAAAATCTATAATTACTTGTGTCATACAGGTTTATTTGTTGTTGGCCACTCGACTGACGGAGAGCATGCATATCAAACACTGTCACCAACTTGAGTATTGTGTTCCTTTTCAATTTGTTTCCTTTTTGCAAGTGTTCTAAGTGTGTGGTCCGCCACCTAGGGAAGGCACCAACATCACGCAGAAATGTGTTTAAGTTTCCGTTTAAAATTGATAAGTACTTGTGACATGGGTTTATTTGTTGTTGGCCACTCGAAGGAAGGAGAGCATGTGTATCAAACACTGTCACCAACTTGAGTATTGTGTTCCTTTTCAATTTGTTTCCTTTTTGCAAGTGTTCTAAGTGTGTGGTCCGCCACCTACGGAAGGCACCACCATCACCCAGAAATGTGTTAAAGTTTCCTTTGAAAATTGATAATTACTTGTGGCATGGGTTTATTTGTTGTTGGCCACTCGAAGGACGGAGAGCATGTGTATCAAACAGTGCTACCAACTTGAATATTGTTGTTTTTCCCTTTTTGCAAGTGTTCTAAGTGCGTGGTTCGCCACCTAGGGAGGCCACCAACATCACCCAGAAATGTGTTTTTTTGGTTCCTTTAAAAACAAATACTTTTGAGATGGGGTTAGTTGCTGTTGACCACTGGAGGGATGAAGAACAGGTGTGTCAAACATCCTGACCAGTCACCAACCAGAGTATTAAATGTCTGTTTTTGGAAGTGTTCTAAGTGTGTGGTTCGCCACCTAGGGAGGCCACCACCATCACCTAGAAATGTGTTAAAGCGTCCTTTTTAAATCTATAATTACTTGTGTCATACAGGTTTATTTGTTGTTGGCCACTCGACTGACGGAGAGCATGCGTATCAAACACTGTCACCAACTTGAGTATAAATTTCCCTTTTTCCAAGTGTTCTAAGTGTGTGGTTCGCCACCTAGGGAGGCCACCACCATCACCTAGAAATCTGTTAAAGCGTCCTTTTAAAATCTATAATTACTTGTGTCATACAGGTTTATTTGTTGTTGGCCACTCGACTGACGGAGAGCATGCGTATCAAACACTGTCACCAACTTGAGTATAAATTTCCCTTTTTCCAAGTGTTCTAAGTGTGTGGTTCGCCACCTAGGGAGGCCACTACCATCACCCAGAAATGTTTTTGTTTTTTAGTTTCGTTTTAAAATTAATTTGATTACTTGTGGCATGGGTTCTTATTTGTTGTTGGCCACTCGAAGGACGAAGACCATGTGTAACAAACACTGTCACCAACTTGAGTATTGCATTTTTCCTTTTATGATGTGTTTTAAGTGTTTGTTTCGCCACTTAGTGGGGAGGCCACCAACATCACCCAGACATGTGCTTTAAGATGCATTAAGTGCCCTTTTAAGATAGATAATTACTTGTGACATGGGTTTATTTGTTGTTGGCCACTCGAAGGACGGGGAGAATGTGTATCAAACACTGTCGCCAACCTGAGTATTGTTTTTTTCCCTTTTTGGAAGTGTTCTAAGTGTGTAGTTCGCCACCTAGGGAGGCCACCAATATCACACAGACATGCTTTAAGTTTCCCTTTGAAATAGTTTCTTTTGAGGTTTGCTTAGTTGTTGTTGGCCACTCGAAGGACGGAGAGCATGTGTATCAGTGTTACCAACTTGAGTATTGTATTTTTTTCCTTTTTGCAAGTGTTCTAAGTGCGTGGTTCGCCACCTAGGGAGGCCACCAACATCACCCAGTGCTTATAAAAGTCTTCTTTTAAAAAACATACTTGTGAGATGTGGCTAGTTGTTGTTTACTACTCGAGGGATGAAGAAACGGTGTGTCAAACATTCTGATCGGTCACCAACGAGAGTATTGATTTTCTCCTTCTGGAAGTGTTCTAAGTGATTGGTTCGCCACCTAGAAAGGCCACCAACATCACCCAGACATGTGCTTCAAGATGCATTAAGTGCACTTTTAAGATAGATAATTACTTGTGACATGGGTTTATTTGTTGTTGGCCACTCGAAGGAAGGAGAGCATGTGTATCAAACACTGTCACCAACTTGAGTATTGTGTTCCTTTCAATTTGTTTCCTTTTTTTCAAGTGTTCTAAGTGTGTGGTCTGCCACCTACGGAAGGCACCACCATCACCCAGAAATGTGTTAAAGTTTCCTTTGAAAATTGATAATTACTTGTGACATGGGTTTATTTGTTTTTGGCCACTCGAAGGGCGGAGAGCATGTGTATCAAACAGTGCTACCAACTTGAATATTGTTGTTTTTCCCTTTTTGCAAGTGTTCTAAGTGCGTGGTTCGCCACCTAGGGAGGCCACCAGCATCACCCAGAAATGTTTTTTTTTTTTTTGTGGTTCCTTTAAAAACAAATACTTTTGAGATGGGGTTAGTTGCTGTTGACCACTGGAGGGATGAAGAACAGGTGTGTCAAACATCCTGACCAGTCACCAACCAGAGTATTAAATGTCTGTTTTTGGAAGTGTTCTAAGTGTGTGGTTCGCCACCTAGGTAGGCCACCACCATCACCTAGAAATGTGTTAAAGCGTCCTTTTTAAATCTATAATTACTTGTGTCATACAGGTTTATTTGTTGTTGGCCACTCGACTGACGGAGAGCATGCGTATCAAACACTGTCACCAACTTGAGTATAAATTTCCCTTTTTCCAAGTGTTCTAAGTGTGTGGTTCGCCACCTACGGAAGGCACCACCATCACCCAGAAATGTTTTTGTTTTTTAGTTTCGTTTTAAAATTAATGATTACTTGTGGCATGGGTTTTTATTTGTTGTTGGCCACTCGAAGGACGGAGGCCATCTATCAAACACTGTCACCAACTTGAGTATTGCATTTTTCCTTTTTTGATGTGTTTTAAGTGTTTGTTTCGCCACTTAGTGGGAGGCCACCAACATCACCCAGACATGTGCTTTAAGATGCATTAAGTGCCCTTTTAAGATAGATAATTACTTGTGACATGGGTTTATTTGTTGTTGGCCACTCGAAGGACGGGGAGAATGTGTATCAAACAGTGTTACCAACTTGAGTATTGTATTTGTTTCCCTTTTTGCAAGTGTTCTAAGTGCGTGGTTGGCCACCTAGGGAGGCCACCAACATCACCCAGTGCTTATATAAGTCTTCTTTTAAAAAACATACTTGTGAGATGTGGCTAGTTGTTGTTTACTACTCGAGGGATGAAGAAACGGTGTGTCAAACATTCTGATCGGTCACCAACGAGAGTATTGATTTTCTCTTTCTGGAAGTGTTCTAAGTGATTGGTTCGCCACCTAGGGAGGCCACCAACATCACCCAGACATGTGCTTCAAGATGCATTAAGTGTACTTTTAAGATAGATAATTACATGTGACATTGGTGTTTATTTGTTGGCCACTCGAAGGACGGAGAGAATGTGTATCAAACACTGTCACGAACTTGAGTACAATGTTCCCTTATTACAAGTGTTCTAAGTGTCTGGTTCGCCACCTAGGGAGGCCACCAACATCACCCAGAAATTTGTTTAAGTTCCGTTTTGAAATGGATACTTTTTGAGATTGGTTTAGTTGTTGTTGGCCCCCCGAAGGACGGAGACCATATGTATCAAACACTATCACCAACTTGAGGATTGCATTTGTCCTTTTTTGCAAGTGTTTTAAGTGTTTGTTTCGCCACTTAGTAGGGAGGCCACCAACATCACCCAGAAATGTGTTTAAGTGTCCATGTTAAAAATATAATCAATTACTAGTTACTAGTGACACGTTTTTTTTTTTTGCTGTTGGCCACTCGAAGGACAGAGAGCATGTGTGTGCGAGTCTGTGTCAAACATTATCACCAGTCACCAACTTCATAATAGATTTCACATTTTTGAAGTGTTCTAAGTGTGTGGGTTGCCACCTAGGGAGGCCACCAAGATCACCCAAAAATGTGTTAACTTCCATCTAAACACACATATATATATATATATGTATAGATATACTTTTGAGGTGAATTTAGTTGTTGTTGGCCACCAACGGAGAGTTTGAACGCCCTTTGGTTTGGGGTGCCAGCTGAATTTTCACTCCAATCCCATCTTCCTTTGCTAGTTGCTTTATGTGGATCTGCAAAGGTACTCCGGTATACATACATACATATATATATATATATATACACAGCTGGGGAATGTGGGTATACCATCCCCAAAAAGATGCTTCCAATTGGATAATTTTCGGTATAGCTCTATTTGAGATGATGTGAAATGACCTCCACATGTGGCCCAAATGATTATTTAATGGGATGGTTTATTTTTGGGATTATCATATTGATTATCTATGTATCCATTGACCCCCTGCCGAAGGTTGTACCAATCCTTTACATAATTGAAATTACGGACATACACTTAGAACACATAAATTACCCCAAAGTGTTCTAAATACCTTTTAGAACATGTTCTAAGTGTATGTTTTTTTTGGGTGTTCTAAGTGTATACTTAGAACACATTCCCCTGCAGAAATTTTCGCCATGCGTTTTCCAAATGGTGTTCTAAGTGTATGTCCTTAACTATAAAGCTTATTGGTAGGAACATTTTCATGAAACCGCTAAATTTGCAGGTATAAAGCACGGTTTCCACTGGACTTCCCCTTAAACCAATCCATTGATCATCACGTGATTAGATCCATTTTCCCACTTGTTTTCCCCTATGTTTTGCATCTTAAGCGTGATAAATCCATATAAATCATGATAAATCCATATAAACCCATCATAAATCATGATACATGCATATAAATCCGTATAAATCCGCATAAATCCCATATAAATCCCAATGTTTCCCGAGACATTGTTCGCTTTTTTCCCTGCAAAATGCTTGGGTCCCCATGGCCCCGTCCAAGCAGCTTCCCAGCACCAGCTCCACTCTGGGCACTGCGGTGTCGCTGTCACTGCTGAAAGAGGAGGGATGGCTCCTGGAAAATCTGGCAGCGAAGGATGCGAGCCGGTCATCTTTTTGGATGACCTTTGCTAACGATCCAAAAAGATCCAAAAAGCAGCTGGGAAACTAACTAGATGCTAATCTATTACATCTACTTACTAGGTATGGTATAGTATGGTATAGTGTGTAACTATTATGTAGGTAACAATAAAAGGTGACTATTGGCTACTGGTAACAAGATAACCAGTTGGCACCCTCTGGTCATTTAAGAGTTTGCTATGGAATGCTATGGGAAATGGCCGCTTGATAGATGATTTACCTGTTAGATCCTATTAAACATAGAGATTTTCCATAGCTATGTGAAATTAACAGAGGGTAACTATTACGCAACTATGAAACACTTGGACATACTTGGACTATCTTTTGGGATTATAATGGGATTTTGCCCATCTACCAAGACAAAAAGAACGATTTGAGCGAGAAAAAAAACGACAGGATTGGGGTGAAAATCCAACTAAATGATCTTATAAGATGTTGCCGCAAAAAATGCGAATCGTGGTCAGTAAGTGGGTGATATATTCGTTCGAAAACACCGTGTCACAAAATACTTTTCAGTGCTGTTTTGAGGAGTTGTATATACTTGTCATAATTAATCGCGTTGGTTGTGAGGAGGAGGAGGATAAGGATGAGGATAAGGATAAGGATGAGGATGAGGATGATGATGATGATGATGATGATGATGATCCCGCTAGACATCATACCAATTTTTGACCAACTCACGATTTTCCCAAACCCCACGTCACCAGTTGATCCAATTAGTTCCTCTATTGATTGAATTAGCTGAGCCAATTCTGCATTTTGCGGTGCCCAAAGTTTCAGAAACACAAAGACTCACAACGAGTTGCTTTAGGATGGCAGGAACCCCATTTCTTTTTCATAGTCCCGGCAGTTTCACCATCCGAATTTTCGGGGGGTTGGCTCTAATCTCCACCCGGTCGCACCTGCTACATCTTCCCGGGCTCGCCTGAACAAGGCCAGGACGCTGCTGAAAGTGACCTCTCTATGTCATTGTCCTGGTCCAATAATTGGTGGACATATCATTAGGGACCAATGATGGGAGCCCTGATTCCCATACTCCCATAAGAAACTCCAATAGTATGAGACCATGGGAATAAGGGTACCAGCATTGTCTTTTTTTTGGGTTGCCAGTTCATGGAACAAATGTTGCTGGTCAATTCGAGGGCTGGTTTGGTACACCATGTACGGTGTCTATCATCTACCTAAAAGTTTTAGGGGGGTTAACGGTTAACCCCTCTATCAACCAATGGGAGAGGACATCTGTGACGCACATGTTGAGCTGAAACTTTCTGTGGCATTGGAACATTCGCAGGGGCACGGCAAGCGAAAGCACGTGAAGCTGTACAGAAACGACGAATTTGAGCACAGCGGCCTCTGGTTGGTTGGAAAATCTCAAACAAATCACATGCCAAATATAACCAAATATGCCAAAGAAGAAAAAACATAAATCACTTGGGGGTCCAATCATCCTGCGGCCACTATGACCACTGGCTGCATCCTGCCATTCAACTCTCCAGGCCCGCCAAACTCCTGACGCCGAATTTTGGGTTTAGGGTCAGGATGTTGGGTGCCAAATTGGTGTTTGCAACAAAAAAAAACGATCCATTCAAATCCGACTTCGGGGAATTCGTTTTCAGGCTTAGGCATACGTTTGGCCCCATTCCCGTGACCTGCCCGCCGCCAGAAAAACCCATCAAAAACCATGTGAAACAACCACCAAAGACATCCCAAACACAAAAATCAAACCGTTAAAAAAACCATCAGAAATACTTCCAACCACCAAAAGAACATCAGAAACACGTTCAAAACAATCAGCGACTCACAAACGTCCGGAAAAAAATCGACGCCCAGCCGTCCTGGAGACCTTCTGCTGCAGGTTGTACTGATCCACCGCCTCGCTAAGCTCTTCATTCTTTTCGCGAAGACTTTGGAGCTCTGAGGCCTGGTGGTCGACCTGGTGAGGCTGTCCACTCAATGGCAACATGGGAAAATCCTGGGAAAAATATGTGAAAATCATGGAACGTCCACTATAAATGGAAAATTCACCAACCATAAATAGGGGGTTGGTATAAATACCAGGAAAATTATGGGAAAATCGTAGGACATTCCCTGAACTAAATGGAGGTGATCATCAAACTAGATGGGGGAAATTCCATTAATTTGAAAGGCCACCTGCACTGGAAACGCAGTTGGCAAATTCTGGTCCGCCGAGTTTGAAGGAGAGATGGATCTGAAAGTGACTGTATCCAAGTTAGGGCACTTTTTCATTGGAGATGTGATCAACGGATGGATCTGGCAGGAACCTCCTACGATACAATTGGGGGGTATCCAAAAAATGAAACCAAAAACTTAAGGATCACAAGTTGTGATGGTGTAATAGTGATCAAACTAGCCCCGCAAGGTATATAAGTGCGTGTGTTGTTTGTCCGGGAAAGAAATGGAACCAAAAAATGTACAAACAAGTCTGCCAATCACAAGGATTTCATGTTACAGCAACGAGTCTAAATAGCTGGCACAAAACATTCCAGATAGCAAAACCCATCTACCTCGAAACCAAATGCCCCGCAGCGTGGAAGGTGACGACCCCAATCAACACTGTTTGCAAGGTAAATACGCACAAAGCAAACAGACGAATTATACCGCTATCATCATCAATGTAATTAATTATATCAAACACCTCTTCCAAGTAGAAAACGGTTGAAACACATAAACTATGGTTTTTTTTGTGGGGTAAACAGTGATCAATGGACCAATGGACCACCCGGATCCACCCGGATCCACGGGTCCCTAGGGCCCCTGCCCGGCGCATGAGCACCGAAATGCGACTCTCAGTGCTCGACTCCTGGTGCAACTGCCCTTCGAGAGCTACCCATAACTGTGAAAAATTGCGCTAATGTCTATTAAGTATAATCAAGAATGCATTTCCAAGAAGAGAAAGATTCTAAACATCTCTTAACCTCTGGTTTCATACAGTTTCATGCAAGTTGCCTTAGAAAGGACAAAGAAATATCATGAACTATCAAAAAATACTCTGAACCTCGTCATTTGAATAGCCCATTTGACCCCTCAGAAGCATGCCCACCTGAATGGGGCTTGGCCGGAAGTCGCCATCGCTGGAGTCATCCGAGGGACGGAATCTTTGTTGCAGAGACCAGGCGACCCAAGGGCTGGAACTCCGGAAAGTTTCAAGGTTGGTTTGGACCGATTCCCAGTGATAGAACCCATTTCAAGATCTGTTTCGACTCCAGCCGGTGCAGTCATCTAAGACATATAGGTTATTGATATCTATTTATAGTATTTAAACAGATGATATGATATGCCCATATATGCCCATATATGCCCATATATGCCCATGGGAATTGGATGAAATTTATCCAGTCAGAATTCCGTGATCCGAGAGGGACCTGGAAACTATCCAGACCAGGAATTGTCATTTTGAACTGTGAGCTTGGGGATATCTCACCAAAGAAAAACTAGCGTAATATCTTGACAGATCAAGAACCAGCAAATACTAATGAGAAGGAAGTGGATAGGAAAGTGCTCCAACAGATTCATTCCGTCAGTCAGTCAATGTTGAGATTCTTGACAAACAACAATGGTGATGATATTGGCGCGTGATCGTGCGCGCGTTCACATTAGACATGTACTACTGTACTACCAATTGGGTAGAAATCATCTCACGTGGCTGGCTGTTTCGAATGACAAGTACTTGCCAATTTTTATGCCCTTAAGAATCAGGCTATACCAGGCCTGATTAGCGCCTGGATACTTCACATCAAAACCCAAACCAGATTTTTTCGGTCATTGCTGATGGATTGCCACCATTTAACCATCATGGATGGGGTCAGCCAGGAACATTTCAAGAACCACGACCCATGGTTGGAACCGTGGTTGGAAAAGATGCAGTTCGGCAGTTCCACCACAGAAAAACATACGCCAAACATAGAAAATCATTGATTCGCCAAATATGTGATCAATATTTATATATATAGCAGACTATATATTACCATGATGTATGGATGTGCATGTACAACTGCTATGAATATGTAACATGACATGATAATCATCCCATTTTTAAGGACCGAGGAGCAATTCTCTCGGAACCTTGGAAGCCTTTGGACTGGTGCTTCCCGCTGGCCTCAGGTACCCGGGGTTCATCAAACGTGGCTGGACATGTTCCAAATGGTTGTTTGTTGAATGGGGTTACCCCTAAATCATCCATTTTAGTAGGATTTTCCATTATAAACCAACCATTTTGGGGATCCCCCACTTACGGAAACCTCCATGTATCAATGGTGGGTCGGCCATTTCCACTGTATATAAATATAGTTACCAACTGATGGATACTTATGGAGGTTATTAGTTATGTCCATGGGTATACTCCATTTCTAACCCCAACTGTTCAAGTGCAACCCCAAGACTTTACTCAACCATCCCAGCTTGATTTTTTGGCAAGCCATGGCAAGCCCAGCAATGGCATATTTTTCATGACCCCCAAATAGTTAAATTGGCTATGATTATGCGTTGATTTATGATGAAGCTCAACAGCACACATATGAGGATTCAATTTAATATGTCCAATGAGAAGAATCAAGATTTTCAGAAACAAGATTTAATATCAAAGTGTCTGCAAGAGTTGGCCGCAAGGTGGATGAAAGGGACTAGCATCGGGACCCAAGAACCCCCTTCATCAAGTCTTCATCACTGGCATGGTTTAAGCGAAAACCCACACAAAAGCATCAGCCATCAATCAATGTTTCCACCTTTTCTTTTGAAAAAATCTGGTTGGTGGTTTCAACCCCTCTGAAAAATATTAGTCACATGAGAGTATTATTCCCAATATATTGGAAAAATAAAATTCATGTTCCAAACCACCAACCAGAAATTGTCAACTCAAAACCATCTTTAACCAATCCAATCCCACGTCGCGTCCACATCAAGGAGCTGCAAGAGGCCTCTGAGCTCAGAGGCGGCCGCAGCATCCCCCACCAAGCATGAGACGCTCAGCCGCGACCAAGCGTCCTGGCTGTCTGGCGGCATCACCCAGCTGCCCCCCACTGTTCGTCAAAAATTTGGGGGTCGTCTCCTTTCAAACCAATCCATCTGGATAAATGATACGAATTCGGCTTCCTCACTGGGATAACTACCCCCAATCCCAATCATAATCATCGTCTTCGTCAACGTCATCATCGTCATCATAGTCGTCATCCTCACCGTCATCGTCATCCTCCCCGTGATCGTCGTCGTGGTCGTGGTCGTGGTCGTGGTCGTGGTCGTGGTCGTGGTCGTGGTCGTGGTCGTGGTCGTGGTCGTCGTCGTCGTCGTCGTCGTCGTCGTCGTCGTCGTCGTCGTCGTCGTCGTCGTCGTCGTCGTCGTCCTCGTCCTCGTCCTCGTCGTCGTCGTCGTCGTCGTTGTCATTGTCGCCGTCATCATCATCAGCAGCAGCATCAGACGTTCTTGTATTCATATTTCTTGACTATGGTTACATAGTTTCCTCCAATCATCATCATCCATCATCATTGGTGATGGTAATATAATATAATCTATCTATGCATACAGATACATAGTGGATATTAAAACTACTAAATAATTAAAAAACATAGTAGCACTCGGTAGAACTCATTCTCAACAAATCTCATCATTCCAGCGATTCCAGTGACCAGATACCGTCCTCATCCAGCATTCGCATGGCCTTGGCCATGCTGACGCCGTGCAAACCTCCCAGGGGCGTCAAGAAGACCTTGCGGCGCCGCTGCGGTGACGGTGAGCTCTCCGCAGCATAGCCTGAGCCAACCGGCTGGGATGACTGGGGCAATGTGGTCTCCTCCAGTCCTCTGGAGAAATGTGGTCTCTAACATTTTTCAAAGAAATTCTGGGGCACCCCGGCATGTTCAGGAACAAAAACTTGAGGCCGGGGGTGGATGACGAAAGCTAGCGGGGTAGGAGAAAGAAGGAAGGGAAGAGGTGAGTTGCGGAGGGACTGTCATCATCGTGTCGCGGCATTGTTCGTCCCAACGAGGATGCAACAATGATATATGATATATGATATATACCTATATAACAATGATATATATGGGGGAAGGGGCAGGGGGGATGATGATGATGATGATGATGATGATGATGATGATGATGATGATGATGATGATGATGATGATGATGATCATGATGATGATGACGATGACGATGACGATGACGATGACGAGGACGATGACGATGACGAGGACAAGGACGAGGACGAGGACGATGATGATGATGATGATGATGATGATGATGATGATGATGATGACGATGACGAGGACGATGGCGAGGACAATGACAATGATGATGATGATGATGATGATGATGATGATGATGATGACGATGATGATGACGATGATGATGATGGTGGTGATGGTGATGATGATGATGATGATGATGGTGATGACGAGGACGATGGCGAGGACGATGACGATGATGATGATGATGATGATGATGATGATGATGATGGTGGTGGTGGTGGTGGTGATGGTGGTGGTGGTGGTGGTGGGGGGGCCCGCCTTTCGCGTGAAAAATCACGTGATGTCCTTGAGCAGCCCCCGGAATACTTGCTAAAGCAAGAAGACTCCAGCTAGCTGACGCTAGCTTTCGTGACAATTCGAAACATCTTCAAAAACATCTCAACACACCGCTGTGCTGCTCAGTTCGGGGCAGAACATTCCCAAAAAAAAAGCCAAGCAACGCAGGGCACCATAGTACTGAGCTGTTAGCAGCAGCTCAGCCACTTTCCTGATGCGCGGATCCCAGATCCACTGGTCATCTGAGGTTCTCCCAGGGAACTCCCAGTTGGGCCATTGGGCCGGGACCAAACAGGCTATCTAATCTAAAGTCCACCTTCTAGAGCCTTGGACAAGGATGAACAGCTTGAACAAGGACGTGCATCGAAGTCCACAATCTAATCGGATCCTTGCAATCTATAAACATCAAAGGTTGATTTTGCCCACGCAGTGACACATTTGCATGTCGGATGTTGAAGCCTAAATTACTGTCCGCTTGTACCATGCACAATGTGCCAAAATGGTAAGGACTTTGAAGAGCGCGTCAACGTCTTGAGAGATCCCTTTAGGGAAACAAACACCCAAGGTTCTCGACCAACCAACCTTCTTCACCAACCATATCCATCAAAATTGCAATCTTCACAACTAACTCATCCCATCCTCCCCTCTCAGGCCCCCGTTTGTGCATTAGATGCGATACTGAACCAGCGATGTGGGTATTGAATTCTAGGGGGTTACCCTCTGGTAATTTAACATAACTATGGAGAATCACCATTTTTCATGGGAAAACTCACAAAAAATGACCATTTTCAATAGCTATGTTAAATTACCAGAGGGTAAGTTTGAGTCTGAAAAAAAAAACGACATGTTCACCCACCCTTCACCAGCAGTTTCGCCCCTCGGAGCTTCATCTGGTACTCGCCATCCCCCTCCAGGGAGGAAGCATAGAACAGGCCCACGCGATGGTCGCGTCCTGGCCCCCCGCGTGTGGTTCAGATGATATGAATAAATGTAGGCGTGTTTCTTGGAAACATAAGCACAAAGATGTGCATATGATACGTGTGTAAAATATAATATAATATATATATATATAGAATATGATCATACATATTATATAACATTATATATATTTATATATGATATATCATTGTACTATATTATATTGAAACCACCAATCATTTTTTGGGGTTTGCCCATTCTTGACGGTGATATCCCAATTATTTTTGTCAATCCTTGAACTTTGTGGTTAAACCATTCACACGTTTCTGCATGGTGATTCAGCCAGCCATGACCTGTCATGACCTGACCCAAGATCAGCGCGGCAACCCCCAAAACCCCAAAAAACGGGTACTTTGGAAGCGATTCTACTTTTGGATTTTCTATGATTTTCTTGTCTTTCAAGGCTTCATAATGTTCCCTGTTCAAGTTTGAGTGTGTAAGGCTACATTCCTCCAACGGACTGACCAACCACCTGAGGACACCCCGCCTGCCAGGCTCCTGTCTGGCCGCAAGCCCTTTACGGACACATCCTCCATTATGACGGACCGAAGGTTATGAAGCTCCTGGTGCGGTGACTGTGCTGCTCATTGTGCGCTGGAATGTTGCTGCGACATATTCATGAGGTTGGGAAACTCTTTCTCCTTGGTTCCAAATTTTTCATAAGGATTATGGGTATTCATACCTCCTTTTTGAGAGGTGGAGAAACCAGGGCGTTGCCACGCCCCCAACTACAAGTAATTATCAAATTTGCAGGAGGCACTGCTGGGCACTGACCAGGTGCAGTGGGTCATTTCTATCAGGGCTCCTTCTGGAGGTTCTTCAAGTTTTCGGCCTTCAGGTTGGGAGGGCGTCTTGGTCAAACCGTCCGATGGAATCCGAGGGATGTATTCCGACTAGAATCAAGCCAGAAGTCAGGATTTGGGGGTAGAACCGGTAACAAAACAGCAAAGGATAAGAGGCCTTAGAGCCCCTCATAGCCTATGTAGGGTCAGCGGCCGGATCCCCCCAGCACCCACTTTCAATGGGGGTGCCCCAAGCAATATACGACCATCAAGATCTCAGATGCTATACTTACATGCTGGCCTCGTGCCGCCAAAAAACACTAGCTACATGAGGTGTGCCTCCTCAGCAGGCTTGGTCGGCAGGAACTTCAGGTATCCGTTGGTGACCTGAAAGCCCTCCACCCTGGACAGTAGCAGGTCCAGGGCGTTGATGCCACCAACACCTGAGATTCTGAGGTCCCATGGGCAACTCATTAAGGGGCCTTAGAGAAATAGATCGTAACAACATAAGTAGACCCCGTACGAAACACGGGTTTCACACATGTTTATCATATTTCTAGGAGATAGTTGGAATTCAAGTATTTGAATCAGGTTGAATGGCCTCAAATATCTTTAAATGAAGATTGAGGAAACACCGGCAGTGCATCCGGAGCGCGTTCCACGTTGGCCGCGTTGTCCAAGAGAAATTGTGCAGCTGCTGGGTGTGCTGCCAGCTGACCTTCTGCAGCACCTTGGTGTGATGCCCGTGGAGGGATGGCATCCAATGGCTGAAGAGTTTGCTCAACCATAACCAACTCTATAAATGGTTGGTGGTTTCAACCATCTGGAAAATATGAAAGTCAATGGGAAGGATTATCCCATAGATTATGGAAAATAAAAGTATATAAAAGTCATGTTCCAAATCACCAACCAGCTATAAAATGCTATAAATGTGTAATTATTAATTTACTTAATTTACTATGTTAGTGATTTATGAATGGGTACACTGAATCGACTCTGAAATCAATCGCACGGACATGGATGAGACAAAACGGCCGCAGCCAGAAGTGCATAGCCCGACACTGGAATGTTGGTGCTTGTAGTCCTCCAGATGATGGACCTGAGCTGATCCAAGTGGATCCGGAGTCCGATTTTTTTTGTGACCAAGCAGCATCTCAAACTTCACACTGAAAATCAAGATAAACAATGAACTTGAGATAGTTTTAAGATGCTTTAAGCCGTGCATGAAAATCAACCCCCGCCATCTATTTTATTGGTTGAATTAATAAACATCCATTACATTCATTTGCCACCAGTGATCCACCAGTACCACCCACCCAAAAAATGCCTCCAAGTCGGAGCCCAAGAAACGAGCGTCTCGGGGGAGGGGTATGCGGCACCATTCAGCTGGGAACAGACCATGAAGAGTGCCTTGTGAGGGCTTTTGTGTTCACACAGAAAAGTCACCCCAAAACCAGCTGGTTGGTGGTTCCATATTTCTGGTTGGGATTATATAAGAATGAAATAGTGGTTATAATACCAATAATAGTGGTTATATATGGTTATATGATCGGATATATGATCATACTGGTTGGTGGTTGAAAAAACCATCTGAAAAATATGAGTTCGTCAATTTGAATGATGACATTCCCAATATATGGAAAAATAAAAATTCATGTTCCAAACCACCAACCAGGTGTCCATCTCTCATTTGACTCTTGGAAATTCAACTTTGGACAACTTTCGACTTTCGATGAGTTTGATCACAAGACATACCCAAACCACCCCTTCCAGCAAACTTCTGAGACCAGGTACTCACCTGAAAACTAAGATGGGATGAAACCCCAAAACGTTGATTCGGAAAACAAATGAGCGGTTGCCGAAACCCCGATTCTATTCTGTCTTCCCTTTCGCCATCTCTTTCGCGAACCTTTCACGATGTGGCGTTTTTCTTTCGCGGCATCCACGTGTCTGAAATACACTTTCGCGAGCTTTCGCGGAAAACCCTGAAAAGAATTCCCTATGTTCCCTGGCAAACACATACTGAAACATTTGTTCCCCACCTGCCATGTGAAAGTCTCTAAATTTATCAGAGCTTCGTGCCGCCCATCGCCTCTTCCTCCTCCTCCTCCTTCACCTCCTCGTCCTCCACTCCACCCTCAACCACGAGCTCCAGATCTCAGTGGGCACTGCCGGGCCTCAACCGCGAGCGCCAGATTTCAGTGGGCACTGCCGGACCCCAACTGCGACCGCCAGATCTCAGTGGGTACAGCCAGACACCGCGAGCGCCAGATCACAGTGGGCACTGCCACTCTCTATCGAATGGGGGGGGGCCCATCCCAGCTAGTTAGGGCTTTCGCGGATCTTTCGCGGAGCTTTCGCGAAGCTTTCGCGGATTTTCGGGTCACATCTATAGAAATGTGAATAATATATCCGTATGGATCCAGATACACCTGAGGACACTGTCTATAAACATACCTAGAGACTCGAGCGACATCAAAATTTTGATGCTGGTCTAGCAAAACAGTGTTTCATCTGATTGCCGCTGAAATTTCCATTGCGCCGTTTTTGTGGAATTGCGCCACGTTTTCTACATTGCGCCATTCTTGTGGACTTGCGCCTGATTTTTTTGTAGATTGGGAATGCGCCCGAAATTTTGGATACATGGGGGTTGTCCAAAATACCTTTTCCCGGACAGCCCTCAATCGCTCAGCCAATCGCGTAGCAACCGCGGTACCACAGTGAGCAATCGCGGAAGGGTTTGTTCTTCGTTGATCAGATCATATACATACATAAAATATAAGTTATGTATTATATAATGAATCGTGACAAAAATCTTATGCTAATTCTTTGTATATAATATCATTGCTTTCTGCTGAATTTGAAACATGTTCGCAACCTCTCTCTCTCCCTTGCCTATTCCCTCACCCTCTTACCAGAACTCCTACGCCTACTCCTATTCCAATTTCCACTACCACTACTGCTACTGCTACTGCTAGTGTTGCTGGTACTACTGTGAGTTTTCCGGACCGTTTCCGGACCGCACAAGCTTATTTGCTCCCAAATTTGAAACCTTACTCTCATTACTAGACTTGCTACTACTCTTAGTACTACCACCACACCCGCTGCTACTGCACCACCACTACCACTACTACACCTAGGAATTTCTGCCTTTGCTTTTAAATCCAATTGACACGAGTCCCGCTGAAGGGTCAGAAAACAGTCAGAAACCAGTCAGAAACCCGTCAGAAACCGGCCAAACGCAACCATCTGTTCCCCTCCCTCCCTCCCTCTCTCTCTCTCTCTCTCTCTTTCTCTCTTTCCCTCCCTCTCCCTTTCTTCCCTTGCCCTGTTTCTAGAACTCCTACTCCTATTCCTACTCCTACTCCTACCCCTACTACTACGACTACGACTCCTGCTGCTGCTACTGCTACTGCTACTACTACTACTACTACTACTACTTCTACTACTACTACTACTACTACCACTACTACTCCTACTCCTCCTACTCCTACCCCTACTACTACGACTACGACTACGACTACTGCTGCTGCTACTGCTACTGCTACTACTACTACTACTACTCCTCCTACTCCTACTCCTACTCCTACTCCTG